AAAAAAAAAAAAAAAACCAACAACAACAACAACTTCCTGCGTTCTCGTTTGGCACTTATTTATAGCCTTCTGGCACCTGTTCGTCCATCCCAAATCACCCACAACATAGGCTTCCGTTTGAACTTAGAAAGAAGTTGTAGTCAGTGTTTGGGTGCGCTGAGTCCTGTTGGGAGTAGCTAACAAGTTGTGTGACCAGTGTTTCGGTGAATTGAGCCCTCCTTGGGTGTGCCGATTCACCGTGTCCTTTTTTTTTTTTTTTTTTTAAATCCACCCTTTTTTCGAAGAGCTTTCAATCAAGTTCAATGACTTATCTTTTTCCTAGCCATGCAAGTCAAGTTAGTCAACCAAAATGGCTGAACAAACGCAGAAGCAAGGAGAGGCAAAGTCCTCCAAAACAACCTGCCCGCTATGCTCGGATGGCAGGAAGGGAGATGCCCCCTGCTGCTTCTGCTGCTGGTCTCAGGACCTATGCTTATCCCGTAATATGAACATTTTGTCATATTGTGCAAATCTCGTCGAACGAGGTACATGTCTTTATAGCCACTCTACTTGGCACTTGTCCTGTAGTGTCAACTGATGCCTGTCAATGAAGCAAACGAAGCCTCTGTACAGAGCCATTCTCAGCCTTTCGAAGACTCTGTCCAGCGCATTCTCGGCCTTGCTGGTTTTAAGTCATATGTTGTGCACTTTGAGGTAGAGTGAGCATGCGATATTTTTTATCAAAAAGAAAAGAAAAGAAAAAAAGAGTGTGCATGTGCTCTGTTTGGGGGAAGGGGTTCAAAATTGGATGTTGCTATCCCCCAAACAGAGTGGACATTGGTGAAGATGTGAGATCCCTCGAAAAGTTTTGCCCGTAGTGAGTTTCAGAGGGGAAGAGTAAGAAAGTGTGTGCATGAGAGTGGGTTGCAGAGGGAGGGAAATAAGGAAAGGAAGAAGAAGAACAGAAGGGAAGAATCAGAAAGTGCTTTTTCCATTGAGAAAATTTAGCAAAACCAAAAGGAACAGCGACAGAGAGTTGCTTTGACGCCAGGTAAGGCTGATGAGTTATCTCACAGGAACACTCACATGAGTGCATGGTATATTTCGGACGTAGTACATACCAGTTAGTAGTTACTAAAAGGCTCCGTGTTTTTTTTTTCTTTTTTCTTTTTTTTCCCTTTTTTCTTTAAAGACTCGTGAGCTTGGCTTTCCCTTTTTTTGCTTTCTCCTAACATCTAATTCCTTGATCTTCCTCATGACTCAGGAGATTGACGACAGGACCACCAAACAGAAGGGTGACCTTGAACTTGACGGTCTGCCAGTTGGAAGTGCTCTTGAGGTAAGGAGCCACCATGCTAATGTGTTGCAGAGGTCACACTAGTCATTCATGATATCCGTTAAACTGGAATGATTCAGAGGAGATTAATGTGTCCCCTGAACGAGGAGTAAAAAGCATACTTGCAGCTAATGTTCTATGCTTGAGGCCCACATGTGTGATGCACTCCCGAAAATATGGGATGTGATGCACTCCCGAAAATATGGGATCAAAGTGAACAAGTCTCCTTTCAAAAATCCCTGTTCTCGCAGTGTACTTAACAGTTTCCTGATGGGTGCATGCAACACCAATCTTTTCCTTCTTTCGTACCTTCTGCTTTTACCACACGATATTTGGGTACCTAGGAAGAAGAATCCGGAATCAATATGTGATATGAAAGGCGGGAACGTTTCACACCCTACCCTTTCCCCCCCAAAACATGCGCTGATAGGATTTCACGAGTATCAGCGCCCTGTCCCAGTCCTGGCCCCGAGGTTCCACGTCCCTTGTACCATAAGTATTAAGTCCCTTCTGGTACTTATGTAGGGCCAGTAGGCTGTAAATCCAGTCCAGTCCAGCTCCATACAGTACAATATAGTCCTGGCAGAAGCCCAAGTCCCAAGAAAATCAGTGAATATTCCAGATGCATCGAAGGCGGACCACAGCCAGCAAGTGAGAGCATGAGTCTGGAAAGTCCAAGGTTGGGCAAGTGAAGCACTGCATATGAAAAGCTCAGTGGCAGCGGGTGTCAACATCTTTCCACTGGTGGGTGTTGCGGAAGCGCTGCTGCGGTCGGTCTTGTGCGGCTTCATAGCAGTAGGTGAGCAAGAGGGAGAGTAAGGAAGACATTCAGAGAGAATGAGGTCTGAGGATAGGGTAGTCACACAGAGGTAGACACACATCTATCCTGTGGACGAAACGGTCTGTCACAGCTCCCCTTTACTTGTCCTTTTCTGCGTTTCTGTCCATGGTTCACTGGGCAGTTCTCTCTTGTTATTATGTACATGAATTATGTGTGTGCAGAAGAAATAAAAGAGAGCCGGTGCTGCGGTCTTGTGCGCCTCCATGGCTGTAGTTTAGCAAGAGGGAGATTCAGAGAGAGAGTGAGGCATGAGGATAGGGTAGACACACACACACACACACACACACACACACACAAGAACAATGGAAGGGGTACCCAAGGACAACCGAAAAACTGTCTAATTATAAAATGTAGACAGTACTAGACACACACACACACACACACAAGAATAATGGAAGGGGTATCCCAAGGACAACCAAAAAAAAGTCTAATTAATAATTATAATATTCTTTAATATGTTGGATTGTCTCATCTCAAATGCTCTCGTTGTCTGCAATGATTCTGATCTATTCATCTGGTGGGTGGAATTGGGGCTGTAGTGGGGGAAATCTATAACACACACACACACACACACACACGCGCGTTAAGGCACATGGGGATGTCGGCAGCTGGCGCTTAACCATCATCAACGTGACCAGCGTTGTACATGAGAGGCACAGTAAGAGGGGGTGTGTAAGAACAAATAAACTGGGAGGCCGTCCAATGATAATAATGGTGAATATAGTCAAGAAAATGACATAATTGATCTATTGTCTATCATATTGCCAACTGTCTCATTGTTGGGTAACCCCCTCTCAAGTATGCTGCATTGCTTGCATAAAGGTCAGGTTCCTATAATTCTGGGTCTACTCGTGAAGGCATTACTGGCATAAAGGTGACGTTTCTATTGTGCCTCATGTTGCTAACTATGGAGGCAACACTGTTTCCTTTGCTGGATCGATTCATCTCAAGCATGCTGCATCTTCTACAATAGAGGTAAAGTTGCTGCGATTTTGGATCTACTCATCTGGGTGGAACAGCGGATGTTGTGGTGAACATTCACAACGCACATACACGCAAATACATGCACATACACACACGCGCACACACACACACACACACACACACACACACACACACACACACACACACACACACACACACACACACAGGGCAGCTGACACAATTTGAACACATCTGTAACAATACTGCCGACTTTAAGGCTGCAGTGACTTCCCTCACACGACGAATGCTCATTAGAGGCCATCCCCCCAGTGTCCTGGCCAGAGGCTGGAATGCATACGTGCACGGCCGGCAGCGCCAGTTACCCACTCATGTTACACGGCTTTCGAACTGGTTTTGGCGCATGGTACGCTGGGCAATTGCCCACCCACTCCCGAATGCAAATTCTGTTCGCAGGTCTTTCGCACAACCGCACGCAATAGGAAACATCCCGCAGCCCAACCAACATCAGCCCTCCACAGCTGAAATTCCAAATGCTAATGAGAATACGCCAACCCGACAGGAGACCGGACCAATCACAACAAATTTGGCCGAAGTGGCTGCAAGGGAGGAGGGCCAGCATCCTACGAATACGGTGGCAGTTCCACCGCTGCCATCGCCGCCATCACCACCTCTGCCACCACCACCACCATCATCATCACCACGACTGCCCCCTGCCCTATCACCACCTCCCTCCCCACCACCTTCAGCACCACTATCGCAGCCGCCGTCGCTGCCAGCATCATCGTCATCAACCTCAACATCATCATCACCATCATCACATTCATGGTCGGATCAGCTACGACAAAGGCCCAGTCGGCGGACGCGTACGACGTTGGACCAACCATTGCAGATGCCTCTTCGGCGGGTCCATTCTCCGTCTCCACCGCCGTCCCCAAGACAGCGGCCTCGTCTAGCCGTGAACGGCTTGATCACCGCGCCTCCAACGGCTACTAGAGATTTGCTCCGCCGACATGCTCCCAACCGTTCGGAACGACAGCGTCGCCTTCGATACACACTAGCCAAGAATAGTACACGCCGAGTCCGATGCCCGCAATGTGGGGATGATTTCTTCAGTGCTGCAGGCCTCCGTGTGCACCAGACACGAGGTGCAGCTACTTGTGTAGCATTTGCACGACTGGCAGCCGCTCTAAGCACAAGTGCAGCTGATCAGCTTCTGCTTTCCGCATCTGATCCACCCAGTTCTCACCCCCCTGACCCGCCCCTTTCTCATCCAACTAGCCCCGTTTCTTCCCCTGCCCCAAATGGCATTGACCCGTCTTCTGGTTACCTGATGGAGCCCCGGATTGAAGACCGTCTCTCTCCGGAGTGCATACTAGAGCCAATTGGTCAAGACCGCAATGAGTCTCCTCAACCTGTGCAATCTGCAGAATCGAACGAATCTCCTCCTACTGTGAACAAATCTCCAGCACAACCCGCGGAATCCAACGATGTCATAGCGCTACAGCGAGGCCGCTCTGCGTACTATGCCATCAATGCATGTCTCCTTGCCTACGATTGTAACCCTTATTCGGTTGCTGATTTCGCAGACGTTGTCCGCTGGATAGAAGAAGAGCACCGTGCTGTATGCCCAGAGGACGACAGTGCTGCACCTGGTGTGAACATAGAAGTCCTGGCTATGGCATTTATGGGTAGGCGACTACAATTCCAGCCCGCCCCACGAACCACGTGCCAGGCATGTATCGGGCATATATCTTATATCGTCCCGGTCATTTTAGTGCTTTTACCTTTGCAGATAACTCATGGACCCTATGGGACAACAGCAGCAGGGTGCACACAACAGGAAATGTTAATTCTTTCTATCACCAAATGGAGGAGGATCATGCAGTCTGGCTCGTCCATCAGGAACAGTATGTCGATCACCACTCGCAAGCACTACACCCCCTGCAGAGCAATCTGGCTGGTCCTACCACAAACAATGAACGGACCTCTCCAGAGGATAGTGGCTGTGCCCTCCCATTGTGCAGTGGCACAGGTACAGTTCGGTTGGCGTGTACACGGCATAGCCTCTGCTCTGAACATTATGAAGGGATGGTCGCTGTTAGCCTCTCCCACGAAAACTGTGATCCCTTGTCTTGTGCTCATCCCCCTCACCCCCTGATTACTTGCCCAGCATGCCGTTGTGGCCTTGATCTGCCATGCTTAAATAACTGTGCACGTCATTCTTCCATATGGATGACATGTCAGCAACATGCCATGTGTCGTCAGTGCTTCCAGGAAGCAGTCATAGAAAGTATGTCTTTACTGCGTGGACTATCCCCGGTGCCATCACCCACCACATCCTCTCCTAGCATGTCCCACATGCGGTGTTGGTCATACACCTACGGCAACCGCAGAGGGTTCTTCCTCTTCCTTGCCAGACGTGCGACACACACAGCAGCCCGAGGAGGAAGATGGGCCTCTATATGAACCAGCTTCAGAGCGGGGTACTGATCGCTTATCACCATCAAGGCGAGCTGTTGTGGACCAAATCCTGCAGCAGCTGAACGCCCTTGCTTTGGACCGACCCTCCCTGCCGTCGTTTGCCCATAGAGAAGGAATAATACTGAGGAAACCATGCTCTATGCCGCTATGTGATGACTCGCCAGAGATTCAACTAGCGTGTGGTTCACATGCTTTGTGCCGTGAGGATTATGAAGGAATAATCCATGCGAGTTTCTGCTTTCATACCTACGACGACAGTGAGCACTGTACTCATGTACGGCACCCTGACATGTCATGTCCAATTTGTAGACAGGGGCTAGAACGGCAGTGCCTCTATAATTGTGGTCGACGTGCCTCCGTGTTCCTAGCATGTAGGAGCCACGTTGCCTGTGACATCTTTCTGCGCCGTGCCATTCGATGCAGCAACTGTGACTGCGAAAACTGGATGCGGTGCTTCCACAGTCCACACCCGAACCGGTCCTGTCCGGTCTGTAGGGATGGTCACTTACCATAGGCAATAACTGCTCCTTGACTCAAAATCTTGTGCAACCCAAACACCAATGAACCTCGTGAGGGGTGGTCACTTACCATAGGCAATAACTGCTCCTTGACTCAAAATCTTGTGCAACCCAAACACCAACGAACCTCATGTTCTATTCCAGCGGTGAGTGTTTAGAATTATGCGAAGCCCATCATATACCTCTCGCCTGCCCTACCCTTGCACTCTGCTTTCCCC